TGTTGTCAAAGTGCAGCAAATTGAAGAAGTTCTGGTGACTTACTTCACCAGCGCAATGACGTGAGTCCACGTCACTGGTGACAATGAAAGGCACTGACATTTGACCAAGTACACTTACGCCATATGAAGAAATTTTGGAGCATGTCTTTTGGTGCGGCTACAGTTGCATTCCATGCGCGACACATGAACTCGGCCATCTGGTACGAGAACTGCCCGCGAATCTGGTTACAACGAAAACTGCTTTTATTCATAAGTGAAAAATTCCTAGACATTAAGGTATTAATAGTTCATTGCGGTCTAGAAGAGAAAATATTTGTTCAGCTTATGCCAAAGGTATCTTGAAACTGCTAAAGCTTTGCTGTGTCCGGAGAACCGCTGAACCGGTAATCCTTTTCGAAAATGAACCAAAATTGACGTCAGGATCGCAAACAAGTTGAAGGCTGGACGCATAGAAGTTTCTAGCAATTTCAGTAAGGTTAGCACATGAGGATTTCATTGATATATCGAAAAAGATGAAAATGAATCCTTGGATTTTCACTATGGAGCCAATACTCCATGACTACAGTGTGAGATCGGCAATAGTAGGACTAGCATTACAGCCCACTGGTGCACCTTGTGCTTGCTTGAAAATTTAGCCACTAAAAGGCACTTATGTTTCCTGAAGAATGATCAGGAGCGTTGCCTTGACCTCATCCTCTGTGCAAGATATGATGTCACCTGTGAATTCGTTGCACACCAAGTCTGGGTTTTACTTAGTCCAATGTATTCGTTATCCGAAATCGGAAACGGAAAAAAAAATTCTGCCAAAATTATCCACCTTGAACATCGAATGCTTCTAAAATTGCTCAGTTTCATTAATCACTGAACTAACTGACGAAAGCAAAAAGCAAAAAACTGACCGGATAGTAACAGAAACCATTAAATGCCTCCCAAGTATTCGGACATTCTGAAAAATTTTAGTTCCTCTGAGTGTAGTGAGATCGTTTTTCTTTAAGGAAAATCAACAACTGGCTGTATTGTCTGTAAAGCCGTCATTTGACTTTGGAGCACAATTCCAGTGATTATCAGCACTGTAGTGATACGCTGAGATAGTCAGATAACAGGATGTATGCGGAACTCACATCAGCGAAGTTACTCGACTGACATCACACTCCGTGCCAGGCCCTGAATTGGTACTGGCCGACTCTCGTCTGTCGGTGAATTGTGGAAGAGATTTCCGACTGTTGTTTCGAAACGGTAATAAGATTAGCTTAAAAGGTATGTGCCGCAAACATCTACAGAGAGGTTTGTTGGTATGAGTAAAGTAAATCATTACTTGGAGGGGTAATTGTAGCTGCTCCGGAACCCCCTGAACCAGACGCAGTGCCTCCACTGGAACCAGCAGCAGTACCTCCACTGGAACTAGAAGTAGCGCCTCCACTGGAGCCAGCAGCAGTACCCCCACTGGAACTTGTATCGCTGGAGCCTGATTTTGGTGGTATTACTTCGTCTGTTTCCACACAAAATCCTTCTCCAACCAGATCAAAGCACTCCATTCCCAACGGACAAGGATTTTCTTCGCTGCAGGGTACTGCAATTGTAAGCAAGATTTAGCGAAAACAATGAACTGCATTTGATGCTTCTGTTTTGTAAATGAAAATGGTTCCCGAGCATGTTGCACAGGGAAGGAGTCACAAGAGTTAAAACATGCATTTTCTGTCAGTTGCAAGT